GCAAGGGTGAACACTAAAATCAAGAACAACTTAATAATTACTCCGTATTATCCTAAGATCATAAGTTTGGGATGCATATGACAGGCTGATCAGGCAAACCGATTCCAAATACAAGATATACAATATCTAATCAGATGTTGTACAAGTGGAGAAGAAGTTGAGTCAATAAAATAATGTTATAAAAATATTTACTTTATCAAATTTTGTTCTTAATGTGAAAGACATGATTGAACAAAACTGTTGCACTCCTAATATAAGGAGTGACACACACACACAAACACAAACACAAAATTGATGCACTCATATAGTATACTAACTCACTTAGCAATTAGCATAAAATCCAGTTTCATAATTTCAAACAATAGCATAAATATAACAATTTGTGCACATTTCTCTCTACAAACGAGTTTCAATTTAGTAAAAGGGACATTTTCTCCTTTTAATTTATTCAAATTTTAGAGAAATTGAAAAATAAAAAAGTCAAAGATAGTTAAGTATTTCAAAATCCCATATAGTAATAATTGGTGTAAGGGGTAATTTGAGTTTGCACCCCATATAGTAATAATTGGACTTTGCACTCCGTTTTAAAAAACTTTGTTTTTGCACCCCAACCCCATGTGAAAAGACAAAAATGCCCTCGATCAGGAATATGTTGAACGCCAACATAATTGTTAATGGAGGGACATTTTTGTCTTTTCACATGAGGTTGGGAGTGCAAAAACAAAGATTTTTAGAAACGGGATGCAAAGTCCAATTTGGACAATAAAATGTGGTGCAAACTCAAATTATCCCTTGGTGTAAACTGTAATTTCATCTAAAACATATATGTTCCATTGATAGAAAAAAGTTACAAGAATAAGTAAACTAAAAAATTAAATTCAAGCTATAACTAACATCGTCCATGTGCTTTCATATCATTGTAGTAAGACAAATAAGTTGTGGACTAAATCATACAACTAACCAAATAACTAAGACACACCTGCATTCACATTCTGCTTGGGTGTGATCTAAAATTACAACATAAGCCAACTAAGTTGTGGGATGTGAGGCCAGGTCATTCTGTACATGAAAGAGTATATATCCATCAGTAGTCATGCCATTTTCTTTTGTGATTCTATTATTACACCATACTCAGATATTTAAATCTTTAATTTATTAAAAACATAAGGGCCGACTGAAGAAACAATCATTTTTTATTTGAATGGCTATTTATTGAAGCAAATTATTGCCTTTCATTTAAAACGTCAATGCAGTGCAATCCAGTGACATAAAAAATATTGAAACATTGAAATGACACATTGATCCTTTCACTACAACCAAATTTTAATTGCATTCATGATTATCATTCTGTTAAGGGTTATTTAAAGGAATAACATTTGAAAACATCCATTTTTGCCAACTGAGTACGTTAAATGTTATATCTAGTAAAGTTGACTATGGATGTCAATCATGGACATCTTAGTCTATGCTCAAGTTCTCTACCGATGGAAAAGGATGAGAAATTGAGAACTACTAACCTTGTGGACCACATAGCTGATACAAGACACTAATAAATCTTTTATGCAACAAGGATGAGAAATTGTAGAGAAACATAAAAATGTCAAAGATAATTAAGTATTTCAAAATCCTATATAGTAATAATTGGTGTAAACTGCAATTCCATAGATACAAATTCCTCTAAATCCTCGTAATGTTTTTCTTATCACTAGGCTGAATAACAAGACATAAAACATTCCCATGGTTGCCACTTTGTCACTTGCCATAGAATGAGATGTGTTTCAGTTCCTAAGTCAGCAAATTAAGCGGTGCAAACTAAATTTAAACAAAATACATAGCAAATCACAACTAATTGTACGTATTTGCACATCCTCTACGGGTAATGTATCTTTATTTTTAGTGAATTTCCTATAATGAACCAATTAGATATATTGATCTCTGCCTGGATAGATATGTGTTGACCCAATTAAATTTCCTGAATTCATGTTGAGAAAAGTCATGGATAGAAACAAGCCTCAGTGATCGTTTGAATATCTAGATGTAGGAATAATAGAATCAAAGAGTATTTACTATTCTATCTCTTTCAGTTTATCTACATAGTTGAGCAAATTAATGAATTACATGCAAGATTGAACTCTGGCGTGTGAATGGCCGGTGTGCACCAATGATTGTGATGTCGGTAACGATCTATGTGGAATAGGGGATTGAATGCACCGATTGAGAAGATGGTAACGATCTCTATATAACAGGGGGCTCAAAGGCACTGATTGAGATGTCGACTTCTGACCAGAGCGACAAACGATGGAATATGCCCGAACCTTTCTTTTTTAGTTTTAAGTTTCGTGTCTTAGCATTTGTTTCACTATAGGGCAGTAATCATAAAAAATATGCCCGAACTAAAATACTTTGACGCTGAAATACTAATATGTATACGACAATGGTTACATTGAAAAACATTTACAGGAGTACAAAGTATATGGCAACAATTCTGAAATGTAAAAGAAAGCTCTAAAAAAAATTAACTGTTGCCAACTATATTATGAGAACAGTTTTGTAGTGGTGCATTAAAAATATAAATACATATGTATTTCTGGAACACTGTTAAAAATTCGTAGTCCTTGATAACATAAGGCAACGGTTAGAGTTTCCTAAAAATATGGCGTTGCCATAAGGCCAAATTGTTGTAATGACCATAGATACTGATAATGATGTCTAATATTGGCCATTTCTTCTATGTGTGTGTTATCAATATCACATGCTAACTGATGGAGGATATAGACTTGGATAGGGAGGTTTGCTGATTTGAGCTTATATGAACGAGGACGGACCTATGATATGTTCGAAGGGTCTGAGTCTGAATTGTACTGAATGAATCTAAGTTTCGACCGTGTTTGACAAGTTCAAGTCTCAGCTACATTAGACAATGTTGAGTCTAACTTGTGTTGATGAGGTTGAGGAGCCAACCATGGAGGTATCCAAGGATGTCTAATATTGGGACTATCCCATTAATATGTATCTTCACTAATGGTGATGCATAGGCCGAACATATCTAGAATAGAGGTGGTTTGCAAGGGATCGTTAAGTATGAATTGAATATTTCTATTCTCAAATACTATACAATTTTGAGGACTTTATTTGATTATGGTTCATTTTATTCTCAACATAGGTTTCAAAATCTCATCAGTACTCTTGAAATGAACTAAACACAGTCGGATTAAACACTCAAACACCGATAAACTACACGACTTACATTTTTAAAGTAATGTCATAAATATTTAATAATGAGAAATTTAAAAGGCAACATTGACTAAAATAAATATTATCTAAAATAGGCAAAATGTAAAGAGGATGTAATTAATTCTTTCCTATTATGTGTATTTTCCACACATGTTCAGTACTTATCGTTACAAATACCTCGACACTAAACACAATCACAACATTAAATAAAAATATTGGATCACCATATACCATAGTTCACAATGTGGTACCAAATAAGAGATACATATAGAAATAATAATATGATGATGATTATAAAGCAATATAAATAAATAATAGAGATAAATCGCACTTTCAGTCATTCAATTAGGATGTTTTTACTTGGACTGTAATTTGTCCCAGACCAGACCAGACCAGACTAAACTTGAATAGTAATAAAAATACAAAGAAACCAGACCAAACCAGATCAAACCAGACCAGCAAATTGCAGTCCAAGTAAAAACATCCTTAATACCCATATTGAAATATAATCCTCATATTCTCAAGTTTGTAAATGTCACCCTAAACTGTCACCATAGGATTGTCACCTTAGAATTGGTCTCGCATATGATCTTGAATTTGTCTCACATATGACCTCCTATCGGTAATAAAATTGTCTATGTTATAATCGCTTTAAATTTAATAAAATTTGCTGCCATTTTAAGAGGGCTATAAACTTAGATAAGCTAAACACTTTTACATATCCAACTCTTTTGATGTACTAGAAGTAAGGCATCATGTCCTCTCTTTGTAATATTTTCACTTTTTAATTTGGAAAAAGGGTCAGATAGACCATCAAACTTACATAAAAGGTGAAATAAACCCTTATATAGGAGACTTTGTCCGGCCGTCGCTATTTGAGGCGGTTCCCGGAGGATTTTTTTGATGAAATTTTTTGAGCATCTTATTCATTAAGTCTAGTTTAGTCATACTAAATTTCAGCTAAAACTTCAACCGAGTGAATTGAATGTCTTCCCGTTTGAATTGTTAGCTGAAATTTGGTACGAGTAAACTACACTTAATGAATAAGATGCTCAAAAAATTTCATCAAAACATTCCACCAGGAACTGCCCCAATTGATGACGGCCGGACAAAGCCTCCTATATAAGGATTTATTTGACCTTTTTATTTAAGTTCGAGGGTCTATTTGACCATTTTCCTTTTTAATTTTAAGGGAAAACTGTCAAATAGGTCCTCGAACTTTCATAAAAAAGTCAATTAAGTCCTTCTATAGTATGTTCTGTCCGGCCATCGGGTTTTGGGGCGGTTCCTGATGGATTTTTTTGATGAATATTTTTGAGCATCTTATTCATCAAGTCTAGTTTACTCAGACCAAATTTCAGCTACAAATTCAATCGGGAACACATTCAAATTAATTCTTGAAGATAATTGCGCATTTTTGCATTCTAAAATTAATTTGAATGCTTTCGCAGTTGAATTTTTAGCTGAAATTTGGTATGAATAAACTAGACTTGATGAATAAGATGCTCAAAAAATTTCATCAAAAAATTCCACCAAGAACCGACCCAAATCGCGACGGCCGGACAGAGTCTTCTATAAAAGGAAGGACTTAATTGAATTTTTTCTGAAAGTTCGAGAACCATTTGACAGTTTTCCTAATTTTAATACGGAGTACTACATACTTGGTAAGAGATGAGATAGTGGGGTGAATATTTAAATTTTATATTTGACGGGTCTGTTTTTGAAATAAGTTAGTCTTTGCTTAGGCATAACCTCCAACGACCGCGGGTATAAAGAAATGCCGGCCCATATTCATATTTGCCCTTTCAAATCTCTTCCTCCCTGTCTGCAATTTCTGTCGCCGGCGGCGATCTCTTCGTCCGCTTGTCGGATTTCCGACTATCCTTCTTATCCGCACTTCCCTCTCCTCTCTTTATTATTTTATTATGTTTTAAACCATATCCAAAATCAAAACTCCAAAAAAGAAAATCTTTCGTAAAAAACTCAAAAAATTCATGTACGGTTTGATTTTCTTTCTTTTTATCTCAATTGATTGAATTGTTTTGCTGCGAATAAGAAGAGGAGAGGGAAGTGAAAAAGCACAAAAAAATTTTAAAAATCATCTGTAGAAGTTCCAGTTTATCTTGGGTTTTGAACTAGGATGGCACAGGTTCAGGCACAACCTCAGGCTGGGAACTCCACTGGTGGAGTGAACCAGTTTGTAACGTCACTTTATGTCGGCGATCTGGATTTCAACGTCTCCGATTCGCAGCTGTACGATATTTTCAATCAGCTCGGCCAAGTGGTCTCTGTTAGGGTTTGCAGGGATTTGACCAGCCAGCGATCTCTCGGTTACGGCTATGTGAACTATGGCAACCCTCAAGATGGTCAGTATTTCGTTAATTGATGTTCATAATATTATCACTTGCTATGATTAGGTTATTTGTGTCTAATAAAGCTTATTGAGTTGCTATTTCCCTGCATTACCGATTACACATGAGTGTAATACTTGATCCTCTAGTTTCCCCTTGTAATGCATATGAACGTATTATCTCTACTTTTTGTTGTTATCTATTTTGGGTTTGAATTTTACGAATGAGAAAGTTAGTTCCTTTAAATGTTGTAATACTGTAATATGTACTTAAATGGAGAGGAAGAAGAGTAAGAATTTCATTTTGGACATGGTTGTGTTTTGTAAAATACTAAACATATTTGTGTTTTGCAATAATACTACTAGGTACCAGTTTTATGTGAGTCATCTATATATACATGTTACTCAAAATACCAATATTTTCCAACTTGAAGCTGAGAATGAGATATTGGCTGTTTGGCCTCTGGACATTGTGCACTATTGTTCATACTTCGATGATTTGGGTGTCTTTAATGTAAATGTGAAATGGGGTATTTTATTGGCCATAAGCGTTTTCCTATAAATATCACAGCTGATAGAGCAATGAAGATGCTGAACTTCACTCCTCTCAATGGAAAGCCCATCCGGATAATGTATTCTCATCGTGATCCAACTTCACGTAAAAGTGGCGCTGGAAACATATTTATTAAGGTGTGCGTATGTATATATGTTGTGTGTGTGCGTTTAGTCGTATATTATGGATTCTTGTGTGAAATTTCACTTTTAATTAGTATGTATATTCTTTAAATCCTTCTAGAATTTGGACAAGGATATTGATCACAAAGCACTGCATGATACCTTTTCTGCATTTGGGAACATCCTATCATGCAAGGTGGCAACTGATGCCACCACCGGGCAGTCTAAGGGGTATGGGTTTGTGCAATATGACAGTGAGGAAGCTGCTCAAAATGCTATAGAGAAGCTCAATGGCATGTTGTTGAATGATAAGCAAGTGTTTGTAGGACCTTTTGTACGCAAGCAAGAACGTGATTTGAATGGGGAAAAGTCAAAGTTCACCAATGTTTTCGTGAAGAACTTAGCTGAATCTACTACTGAAGAGGAACTCAGGAATGTTTTTGGCGAGTTTGGTACCCTCACAAGTGTAGTTGTTATGAGAGACGATGATGGGAAATCAAAATGTTTTGGATTTGTCAACTTTGAGAATGCAGATGATGCGGCTAGATCAGTGGAAGTGCTTAATGGCCACAAATGTGATAATAAAGAGTGGTTTGTTGGAAGAGCTCAGAAGAAATCTGACAGAGAGGTTGAATTGAAACACCGTTTTGAACAGAGTGCAAAGGAGGCAGTCGACAAATCACAATGTTCCAATCTCTATATAAAAAACCTAGATGATACTATTGGTGATGAGAAACTCAAGGAATTATTCTCTCCATTTGGCACAATTACTTCATGCAAGGTTTGCTTAATTGCTTAACCCCACATTGAAAATCTGATATAGATTGGTCAGGTTTGTCTTTGCAATAACGATGACCTTTTTTGGAATGTGATATTCTAATAGGTAATGCGGGATCCTAATGGTGTTAGCAAGGGATCAGCTTTTGTTGCATTTTCAACTGCTGATGATGCATCTAAAGCGGTAAGTTTGCCATTGGGAGCTTATTGTGATTAACATTACAAAATACTCAAAATGTTAACATGTCATTTTTTGCAGTTGGCTGAGATGAATAGTCAGATGATCAATGGCAAACCTTTGTATGTTGCCCTTGCACAACGAAAAGAAGATAGACGTGCACGATTACAGGTAGTTTTGGCTAATCTTTTTTTTTCTCCACACATAAAAAAAGTTTGAATAATACTGATTTGTTTTACCATCATAAAGAATATTATGAATGAATGTTAATTATCTGAATATCTGATAATGATAGTCAATTCATTACTTCTCTGTGCAGGCTCAGTTTTCTCAGATACGCCCGATTGCAATTGCACCTTCAGTTGGTACTCGTATGCCCATGTATCCCCAGGGTCCCCCAGGTTTAGGGCAACAAATATTTTATGGCCAGCCACCACCTCTCCTTACTCCACAAGTAAATTTTCAGCTCTTCAACCACACTATTTAATTGGCATTTCATGGTGTGGTTATAATTATTCTACGCACGGTAGTCAAAGATGTAAAATGTACTCCAGGTGGTAAAGTTCTATATCGCTTGAGGTGCAAAGCTCAAAAAAGTTCACGCGTAACAGTTTTTTACATTCAACATAAGATTAAACCATATGCACCAAAATGATATTAACATTACAATCTTTATATATTCATGATCCATGTTGCTTGTCAATGCAAAGTAAAAACGAAGTTACGATTTCCAAAAGTGAAACACTATATTCAGAAAGTGCAGACCCTCATAGTTCTTCACCTGATGTGCTTCAGCCCTCAGACGCTTGCTTTTGATTACTCCGGTTGTACGTGTGAATAGTGATACATTGATACACATAACAACATGATAAGAAACACAGGCCTGGTGTTTCATATTAATTGTAGACTTGAAAATAGTCAAGAATTTTTACCTTATTCTGAAGTTGTCTTTCTGATGAATTGGAATTCCATATAAAATCATGCATAGTTATTATGGACTCGCCTAGTCGCCGACTTGTCCTTCCAACAGTGGAAGAGTGGTGCCATACTGCCATGCTCACTCGACTTGCCTGAAGCTGCTAAGGCATAACTCAGCGCCGATTAGCTGTCCCCAAGTCGTCATGGCGTCGACCAGAAACCTAGGCCCTAACTGTTCATCCCGTCGCTCAGGTCTCTGATGGAGGTCGCTGCCCCAGGTCATCGTTGTATATTGCTGCTGCTACTCAACTCCCGCCTCTATTACTCTTGCTCGTTCCCAGGTTTTGTAGGGTTGTGGACTGTTCAACATGTTCCGATTTTTTTGGATTTATTTTCTCAAGTGTACAGCTGTACTCAATCTTTTTTACTGTTCTGCTACTCTTTCTTTTGTTATTCTTTGCTTTTATTCCATGTACACTACAACCAGAAACAGCTGGATTCCATTTACCAAATCTTTCATTCTTTGTTCAACTATAGCAATATCTATTTTATGTTGATTTTCTTTGTGAAAGATTGTCTTGAACATCCGTTCTATATAAATTATCTGTTGTTTCATATACATTTTGTAATTTAATCTGTAATATAATATTTTATCACATATGTACATTTAAATATTACATGTGACACGACATGCCACCTAGTTGTCACCCAGGGTGGCCCCTAGACGCCTAGGAGATATGGTGGTCAGCTGTAACCATAGAATTATGCTATTTAGAAACACACATGATTAAGCTCGAAATTGGGATCGGTCTACACTTGTTCGTGATTACACCCTATTGCGTTTTGGTAACATGTTCTTTCTTAAACAAGTGGGAAGCTTTTCATTTCCAAAATCTAAACATAAACCGTAGTGCCTTTAGTGACTTGGCCTTCTGACTCTTTATTGTTCATTCCACTTCCTTTCTTCCTAATATTTTCTTCTTTGTGTCTCTCCATCTTGTTATATTCTTCATGAACTAACTGGTGGTGATCATGGGGTTGTCGAGTCAGACTGAGTCTAGTTATATAATGGCTCATACTCCCTTCCCAAAGATATTGTTCCACTTCTATTCCGGGATGTCCCATTTTTTTTTTTCATTCCTAACATAGTGTAAAATGTATGTGCCAAAATAAGATGTTTTTTTCTTTATTAATAACATTACAAAAATGAGTTCGCCATAGTAAAGATGCTATTTTCAACATTTCTGCCAAATGACATGAATCCCATGATATTATTGCTGTCACTTTTTTATTTATTTAATATAGTTCACTGAGATATTGAAAACCGGAAATATGTTGAAGCTCATATGTGTGGTACAGAGCCTATGTATAACAATCAGCTGTGGCTTTGTCCATAGTTATTTGGTGTGTATGAATGTGTGCATAAGTCTATAGCTCTGTGACAATTTCTAAATATGAAGTGTTATTTCCCGCCCAGTGTTAGATTTTCAAACCTCCTGGTATATATTTTCTGTTTATGCCCTTTTTAATGAATCTATGTTTTTATTCGATATGTACTTTTTTTTATAATATTTCTAATTTGTACCGCATATGTATTTATCATGTATCTTTTCTTTTTGGGTTTTGGATAATTGGTCTCCCAATTCATGATTAGAATCTCAATCTGTAACCTTGTTTTTTTGTGTTATTCAATTGTATTATCTCTGATTATAGTACTAGTTGCATAATAAATGAATGTATCATCAGAAGTATGCCCACTCCTACTCCTCTGACACTGCTTATGCATTCCTCCATTGATTCTATGTGGCAGCCTGGTTTTGGGTATCAGCAGCAGCTTGTCCCTGGTATGAGGCCTGCTGGGGGGCACATGCCAAATTTCTTTATGCCGCTTGTTCAACAAGGTCAGCAAGGTCAGCGTCCTTCAGGCAGACGTGGAGGGCCGGGTCCACTGATGCAACAGCAGGGACAGCAACCAGGTCCACTGATGCAGCAGCAGGTTTGAAAAGGCCTTTTCCTGTGATATTTACTTATATCATCATCAATGTCTTGTGGTTTTTACATGTTTCTTGTATTTGCACACCATGCCAGATGATTCATAGAGGACGTGGTGGATATCGTTACTCAGCAGCTGGCCGTGGTGGTATTTCTGATGTTTCTATCCCTGGTGTAGCTGGAGGCATGTTCTCTGTCCCTTATGATATGGGTGCTCTTCCTATTCGCGATTCAGGGTTGGCTCAACCACCGCCAATTGGTGCTTTAGCCACTGCTCTTGCTAATGCTTCTCCTGCCGATCAAAGAACGGTATGCCTTTGCTACTTTCCTATGTGCCACATGTATTAATTTAAGTTAAAATAGTACGCATTTCCCATGAAGTTTTATCTCCATGATCATCATTATTGATCACCACCATCTTAGTCCCAATGATGTTCATGATGACATGAGATTTACTTTCAATTGAATGTATAATTTACTTGTTTACTTGACAATACAAGTTAAGTGGTCCAGTCCTGTTGGTCGCCGACTCACTCTCCCTTATGGGAGGTCCCGGGTTCAATTTTCAATGGAGTGAGATTGATCCCAGTTTACTCCAGGCCCCCCAACCCCCCTCCCCGAAGCCCCCTAGGGTAAAAAAAGAAAAACAAGTTGATGCAAAGAGCACAATCTGCACAATGACAAGGTTTTCGCCAGATACCCTTCCTGTCTCAACCTTTTCTTGAAGGAATAGCGAGGAAACTGTCATGGTTTTGTTTGATAGCCTGGTTTTGGTTTTGATGTCATGGTTATGATATAGACTAATTTTTATTATGTCCATTACTAATTTTACTTTGTAAAACTCAACATGCACACCATGGAACATAGAACATTACATTATCTGCATTATTTGTTATCTTTTTGGTATAAAAGGGGTTGTTGTCATTTCACAGTTGGCATGATAATATTACAGTGTATTTTATTAAAACCTAAACCCAAAATGTTAAAGGGCTTCTTAGTTCTGGCATTACATTTAGTTGATTGCTACTTTATCCTGATAAGATTGTATCGCTACTCCAGAGTCCAGTATAGATCAATCAAGTTTATTATTAAATTTTGTTGATAGTGTAACAGTGTAACTGTGTAAGTGCATAATTATATAGGAAAAATGATAAGGATGACAAAACAAATGCAGAAGGAAGTTATATTCTAATGTTTTTGTTTTATCTTTGGAAATGCAAAGTAAATTCAAATAATTTATAATTTTATTTACTTTAATTTTAAATTTTACATATATGGTTGAAATAACAACAACATTCAAGCCTTAATCCCAAAAGATTTTGGGGTATATATGGTTGAAATAAATAAGCAAAATGAGCTTGAAGATTCTTTAAATAATTTTATTAGGTTTGTGCTTGTCCTTTATTTTCCCCAAGTTTTCTTCTTCATTTAGCTCAGCTATCTTCTTTTGCTCTTGAGTTTTCGTGAGTCCCCAGTGGAGACTGAATGTTATGCTTTTGACATTTCACAGATGTTGGGTGAGAATTTATACCCACTGGTGGATCAGCTGGAGCCTGTGGCAGCAGCCAAGGTGACTGGCATGCTTCTGGAAATGGATCAGACAGAGGTTCTTCATCTGCTTGAGTCCCCCGAAGCTCTCAAGGCCAAAGTTGCAGAGGCAATGGATGTGCTCAGGAACGTCTCTCAGCAGCAGTCAAACAACACTGTTGATCAGCTGGCTTCTTTGTCGCTGAATGATGGTCTTGTTTCTTGAGAGCAACTTATCGGCGTTCGTCTACTTTGAAACAGAAGAATAATAAAAAAAATCGCTGTTCTTTTATTTCATGATTCACTTGAATTTGGGTTGCTGGGGGATGTGTTAGGCTTCCGATTCTGCATGAACCCTCTATTGTGGGCTTTTGTTTGAAGACTTATAGACTTGCTATAAATTCATTTATCAGGCGACATTTGCTATATTTTCTTCACCTTTTGCCCTTATGTGCCCATCTTTTTTTGTTCCTTCTAAAATAGAGACTAATTATAGAGGTGCATTCTTGTTTGATTAGGTAAATGCCGGTTTGGTTCCTCCCTGGTTTCCTACAATCTTGTTCATGAAATAACTGTCGTCTGTTCATTTCATATTTTGGAGAGGAGTCTGGATTTAGTTTTGTCAACCACAAAATGGGAAAAATGGAAAATAATGCGGCCCTGTTCTAGTTTAACTTTGTAATTGGGAGTCTGGGACTGTCCAATCCAAGCACCCCAAGTCCACTACCTAGGGATTGACTTGGTCTGTCGGTCTTGGCTGGAAATCAGGCCTTGCACTGTTTGGGACTGCCCAGGAATTGTGTTTTGAACCTGGTCCAGGTCTGCCTTGGTCTTTGTTACCCTCGGGCCTCGGGTGTACCTTTTGGAAAACAATGCGGCCCTGTTCTAGTTTAACTTTGTAATTGGGACTGTCCAATCCAAGCACCCCAAGTCCACTACCTAGGGATTGACTTGGCCTGTCGGTCTTGGCCGGAAATCAGGCCTTGCACTGTTTGGGACTGCCCAGGAATTGTGTTTCGAACCTGGTCCAGGTCTGCCTTGATCTTTGTTACCCTCGGGTGTACCTTTTGGGATCAGGATTGACCGGTCTTAGGCCAAAATGCCAAATCCAGCCCGCAATAGATTTGATTTTCTCAATTTTAGCCATTGTAGATTTGTAGGTATGTTTTGACCATTTGGAAAGCCTCCAATGGGCTAACGGCTTGCGATAAACGGCTGGTTGAGGGTTTGGGGTCGGGTGAAGTTTTAAAAGAATTCTATAAATATTCACTCGTATCATTTTACAATCTACTCTTCTAATATCTCATTACTTCTACTCCTATTATTCTCTTTACTCAAACATTTTTCATCTTTATATTTATACTTGATAGGGAAAATTCTCTACTAACATTATAGAACAATCAAATTTCTAATTTATTTTTAAGTTTTTTCTTTTTCTACTTTTTTCACATTCCCTTTCCTCTCCTTCTGCTACTTTCTTCTTCCTTTCTCTTATGTGAGACATTTCTCTCTCAGACTCCCATTGCTACTTTCTTCTTTCCTTTATCATCCGTCTGTCATTTCTTGTCTCTCTCCTACTTCTTTCTTCTTCCACTGTTTCGTCCTTGTTACTCTCATCGGAGGTGTTCGACGGAGGTAGGCGCTGGAGGTGTTCGCCGGATATTTAACACCGATTCCTTTAATTATGTTCGACAGAGGGGGTGCCAGACTTCCGCTGAAGTTTCCACGGCCCTTGGTTGCCTTTTCGAGCTGATTCGCGTCGCTAACAATGTCAAAATAGGAGCTGCAGAGCTCCACCGCCAAAGCTGCCGCCTGCCCTCCACGCCGGAGTTCCTCACATGGAAGAAGGGCAAAGATAGTGACAAGAGCAAAATGGCGTAGTAGATGAAACAAAAGGGAGAAGAATGATGGTTGGGAAGAAAACTTGGGAGAAAAGAGAGAAAAGAAAGGAACAAAAAAGGAAGCGGGTAAAACTTAGTTCGAAATTATTTTATCTTTGTCTTTAGCTAGAGTCCTGATCGGCTGATCCTAAGAGTAGAGGCTGAATCAAATGAATTATTTACTTATAAATTTAAATAGAATGATGTACAATTTTTTCCTCAAGAGATATACATTTAATGCTTTATGAGAACTTCTACCTGATATCATGTTACCATAATTAATTTTGGAATTATGAAAAAGTTATGAAATGATTTGAATTAAAAAGAAGCATTAGGCAAGGATTATATGAAATCTAAAAAATGTAAAAGGAGGTCGTCTCCCTAAAGCTTAGGGTTTGTGGAAGTGCACAGATTTGCGATTCTTTTTCTTCGGCAATTAGGGATTTGCTTTGGCAGATCCTCTTCCGTTAGTTAGCTTTGCAGTTTTGCTCTTGTTTGGCTTCGTGGTATCATGTGAGATCGATGCAAGCCACCGAGACGAAGTCTTGGACTGGGTGCTGCTTTGTTGTGTGCGGCGAAGATTTTAGTCAGCCTTGCAATTCGGACGCGATCGGCTGTCTTCGTCGGCGAAGCGGTAAGACAGATGAAGGCTTCACAGGGCTTGGCAGTGAAGATGAAAACAGTTAGTGCAGTGGCGGTTTTGCTATGAGTGCTGGACGAGGAGAGGTGGACGGTTTTCGCATAGGCCAGATTTCGATTGACAATGGAGAATCAGTTGGAGTGGTTGACGAGCACTTTGTCATAGTGTGTCTCAAATTAAATTCACTACTAAGGGCTAATACCGTAGTATAGCGTAGTAGAGTTCGTATCCACAGGGAAAGGAGCTTTTCGCGTATGTGTAAGCGTAATAAATAAAAGTAAACGGAAGGGGAAATTGGATATTTTGAGAATTGAGAAAGCAAATAAAATACTTAAATGAGTGAAATAAAATATCAAAGGTAGTTAGTCTTGGTTTTGCTTGTATCCACTTAATGGTATACGTATATGGTGCAGCCGGGCTCACCGTACAGCCGGCCCAGTAACAAGCCCAAGTGAAAAATAGCAAAATAATTCGGTGTCATTTTTGAAATTAATGTGAAAATCGTGGTTTCTGCTAAATGAGCATTAATGTACTGTGAATGAGCAATAGTTCAATTTTAATGAGTATTAAGCGTCCAATAATGAGCACCATGTTATTACAAGAAAGTTGATATCACAACTAAAAAACGGTGGCATTTTCGTAATTTCAGTGAAAATCTTGGTTTTCGTTAGATGAGCATTAACACACTTTTAATGAGCATCAGACGTATTCTATTGAGCACTAAGAGTCGAATAATGAGTATTGTGATATCAACTTCATATATGTAATACACTTTCTTTTTCTTATTTTTTTCTTTTATAAAATCTCATTAAATTATATCTATAATCAATTCCTATGAATTTGAATATGCGAGTCTAATGTAATATGATACTTTTGAAATATGCATTGTTATGACATTTTAAAAATGAGCATAACATCGGTACCAATTGAGCATATATATGTAACATATAAAATTAGTCACGCCCATTAAGTCACGGTATTAGTCACGGCCAGCGACCGTGACTAACTCATTTAGTCAAGGAATTTTTGAACTGGCGTCCGTGACTACCTCCGTGACTACACGCGTGTTTTTTTGTAGTGAAATGAGCATTGGTATGAAAATAATAAACTTTGTTAATTGATCACCAAGACATTTTCATTGAGCATCTAACTTTTTCTATTGAATATTAGAAGTATGTAATTAATTATAATAATCAACTCGATCTCATGGAAATCTAATGTAATATGGAAGTTTTAAAATATGTATTGATATGACATTTTATAATGAGCATAACATCAATACCAGATGAACATATTTAATTTAAAAAATGAGCATCGAAATGTTCAAAAGTTCAATTGAATTCTCTATTGTGTTCTAATATTCATTTGTGTATGCTCATTTCTTTTAATCGATATACTCATTCGAATATAACATACACTCTTTTCTATAATGTGTACATCTAGTATATGCGTTATTAACGATTTAATAAACTCTCATTATACGAAGTATATAACAATGAGAAACCTAAACGTGTTATATTAAAAATAATTTATAAATTTTTTTCTTGAATGGCAAATATAACCGTGTTGTTCTTATAATATTTACTCATGCACATTTATTTTATACTATACTCATTTTAGTATAACACAAAACTCATGTTAGTAATAACACACAATATTTAATAAACTAATGAATATTCATCTTAAAATTAAAAATAGAAAAATAAACATTAATACCTAAAATATTTTTAATGCACAAATTTTAAAAAAATTAAGTTAGAAGGGTGATCGAAAAAGAATATAAACAAACTCAAACATTTTTTTTTGGTGATACTCTAACATTAAATAATACGTAGTATTTTATACAATATATTTTATACAATATATATATATATATATATATATATATTTTAATGATAATTAAATAAAAATAAAATTAAAATAAAAGATTGTTAAAGAAAAAACCAAAACGTAAACAAAATAAAAGCAAAAGGACAAAAGAAAGAAAAGTCAAACAAGCAAGCACGAAAAACGAGGAAACAAAGAAAAGAAGAAAGATAGCAGAAACTGAAGAAAAACCAACGAGGAGGCACCCACGCACCGTAGTCATGCCGGCGGAAAAACAACGAACAGTGAACCAACTAACTGTAGCCCTTTGAATTGAAGCTATTTACAAAAATGCCGGCTGTACCATGCTCATGATACAACCGGCTGTACCATATATTTTACCCCACTTAATGAAATGTTCGTCGATCCCGGTTATATCTTTAACTATCTTCCTCTCGAATACTCAATCGAGGAGTATATCCAGTTCATAGAGGGTAGTTATTAATAACGAGACGCGTTCATTAATAAAACTTACCACCGAATTAATATAGAACACGCGCCATATATTTACTCGATAGTAGCAATAAATTCAAGATGAAAACGATTGAAATTGATACCTCAACACAAGCAGTTTATTGGTTTAATCAATATAATTAATTCCCCTTAGATTATTAACCATGAGATGCATGCATTAATAATCCAAGTGATGGATAGTCTACCCGGGGGGTATCTTATCCGAGGGGTTATTACGGGAATAACTTAGAGAGAAGTCAGAGCAAATAGGAGGAGAGAGAGTCGATTTTATTAAATGAACTCCGCGTGTGGAAGTTGGATGTAGATTATGTCGATTACAAGGAGAAATGGGCTGCTATTTATAGCAGCAATAAATGCGATGAGGGTACACGTGTCAGTAATCCAACGGCCGAAGGGTCACATCAGCCGGTTGGCACCGGCAGTGGTACGTTCACCGCATTGAATGCGGTTGGCAGATGTGACGTGGCATTAAATGCGGTGGTTGGCTGTCCCCAAAAGGAATCTTCGATGATTGAGCATGCTTGGCCGAAGGCTTCTGGTGTAGCCGAGTGCTCCGTGTAACCGAGGACCCCTGTGTAGCCGAAGGCCTTGTGTGGCCGAAGGCTTTGTTCAGCCGAAGGCCTCTCTGATGCCGAGGGCTCGATAATGCCGAAGGCTCATGTTTTTCGCCGTTTTCTCCCAGTAGCTTCTTATGCTAGAGAAGGCTATCCTGTGAGTTTTGGAGCCTTCGGCCAAGGAGGCCGAAGGCACCCCAGTGTGTATTTCGG